AGCATGGCTCGGTGTCTACTTACGACATTTCATATTAGTTCTTATAATTCATGGCTAACCTTATGAATTTAGGAAACTAATTTTCCTCAAATTCTTCATGCTTTGGCCAAAAACTTTATACAAGTTAATCAAGAATTGAGAATAAGTGAGATACATCCCCCCATATCACTTGAGGTGATGAATCATCTCTTGACCATTCATTAACCTTCGCATGCTTCATGGTATACTGAAAAATACCTTGTTTAGGCATTTGGTTGCTTCCAAACCCATAGGGGTGAAATCAAAGTATGTCATTCCCTATACAAGATGACCCAGTGTCTCAAGTCTAAGGACTACTTGCACCACTATCACATGAGAACATTTTTCATAGACACTTAAGTTAAATACCAAATGGAGTTCTCATAGCGAGTCATGTTCAGTGAACTTGTTCTTTAACAAGCACCTACATGTTATACTCAAGTATCTTATATACTTCAATCTATGAGACCGATTGCTTACTTTCCAAGTAAGGAGGCTTAACGTGTACCAGTCTTTGAGTATTGTCAATGGCCTGTCTTGATAATACAATGACCAAAAACAATTTTAGGAACATGGCTTTGATGCATAGTGATCTCATAATTATAACAACTTTATAATTCTCTTGCAATGCCTTTATGTTCCATGGGCTTCATCCAATTAGTACTTAATAACTCTTTATTATTGCACTAACATGAAAGAAAACTTTTATCACATAAAATTATAAGATTAAATATGAATTAAATGACAATATATATTTCTTGACCAATCTAATTGGCTCAAGACCATATACCAACAATTACCTACTATTGTTCCTACCTTGCATAACCAATAATTGTTGAGTAGTTCTATAACCTAATTTATATTGAATAAGTACGTTGATTAACTTAGATATAGTGACAAAAGCAAGACATTTAGATAAATTAACTTGATTGTTTATTAATTTAAATTTAAAGCCATAATTCATAGCAAAAGAATGTGAAATTATTTTCCCAAACACTTACCAACTGTTAGTAACCTTATACAATACTTTTAACAGTAACTTTGTAAAAACAATCAATAATTTAATATTATTAAAATATTAAAGCATAATATCTAAAAAAGTTCTTAAATTATTTAAGAAAATTCAAATAAGTCATTATATTTTTATTTCATTCAGTTAAGCTCGTATATTTTTATTTTGAATTAAATAAACTCTTATAATTTTATTTTGAGTCAAATAAGTTTTTATGACTAATTATTGACTTAATAAAAATGTTATTTATTATTCTAAGCTACGTGGTGCTAACTAGTATACTAACATATCATAATTAATTATTATATAACATGTTAATTTTGTATGATAACATAATAATGTGATATTTTTTACCATTCATATTAACGTCTTATCAATGCCATGCGAATATAAAATAATAAATGATATTTTGATTGATGGTAATTAATCTATTATTAATCATAAAGATTTATTTAACTCAAAAAAAAATATAAAAGCTTGATTGAATATAATTAAAGAATAAAGACTTATTTAAATTTTTTAAATAATTTAAAAACTTATTTAAGTATTATACTGAATATTAAACATATCACATTTTGAGTAACATCTATTTACAAAAAAGTGACTCAAACTGTACATATTTAATTTTCAAAATTTCATTTATTTTATAGCAATATTGCACACATTTTGTCAATCAACCTTCTATAAATATTTGAAATCTAATAGTATTGGAAGATTAAATACATACTTACAGAAATAAAAAATTACTTTTTTACCATAAACTTATCATTTTAACCTCAATTTGCATAGTCAGAAAACCTATGACCTGACCAGGGGTGCGCCGATACTGGTTGGTTGTCCCAACGTTTTTACACGTGCCCGTGTTTAACTCAAATGGTAGATGGCATTGGTCACTCCTTTTGCGAGAAACTTAATCCAGGTAACCAAGGCCGCGGCAGAGATAGAGTGGCGAGAGATGGGGGTTCTTCACCCTAACAACTTTCTCACTCTCACTTGCTCCACTTCCAGTCTGCTTGTTCCATCCAAACCCCATGTTACCGCCAAGCCTTCTCCAATCTTTTCGCACATACACATTAACTTCCCTTCACCAGGTAAGTAGAAACCATTGTTATCCTCTTTGTTTGCAATTAATCTTTATTGTTTCGTAAGTAGGAGTGTGATTTTTGTTCACTTCATTGGGTGTTTCTCTTTTTCAGGGCGAAACGTAGAATCGAGAAAAGAGCCCAGGATTGGTTCTTGTAGGATTAAGTGTTCAGCGGAAGTTGATAATGTAAGAAGCATTGATTCCTGTATGTGTATGTATGCATGAATTCAACTGCAACACCTTTTTCGTTTTAATTGGTTGAAATGAATAGTTGTTGGTTTGCACCTAGGGCTCTGCAAAGGTGAAGGAAAGAAGCGTTTCGGTCATTCTTTTAGCAGGAGGCAAAGGCAAAAGAATGGGTGTAAGTATCAATTCTTATCTTGTTCTTCTTTTTCTCTCAATTCTATATGCTATTATTATTTTAATGCATCATCAGGATCTTCCTTTGTGTTTAAATGCCCAGTAAATTGTAAAGCCCCATGCAATTTTTTGATCCCCATGGCTTTCCTTTAAACAAATTCTTTTAATTAACCAACGAGTATTGTTCTCAAGTACAATCTTGTTAAATCATATATCTGGGAGAGCTATGGTTTTATACTTTATTGAAAATTATGCAGGCCTTCTTTCATCACCTTCAGTACTGGGCATTGCTTGTTTAGTTGTTGTAATTCTTGCAAAATCATATAATAGCTACCAATGAGTATTTGCCTGTCTGGGCGGGTTGAGACTCAGCTTTTGCAGTTTCCTTTATGTTACCTAACAAAATAATGGTCGTCTTGTACATACATGTACATTTACCAAGTACATAATCTTACCTTTTTATCTCACAAAATATTAGTCAATTTTAATGCGCTGTTTATTTCAAGAAGCATCATTATTGATACGCATGTCTCTTTAAGTTACTGGTTATTGTTATTTCTGGATGGCTTGGATTTTGTAGAGGTGAGAGGCTCATTTCTGTTTGTGGTAATTAAATTTTTTATCTTTAAATCTTTGAATGTAATTATCAATTCTATGTCCTAGCTTGCAAATGTGCTCATGCATATTTACCCAAATAAAATTATGCATTCTTTGTTATCGTTGCTTCTTTATTTATTTTCTAGATGATAGCTTTCCTGTGTTTGTGCAAATAGGCAAGCATGCCAAAGCAATATCTGCCACTTTTAGGACAACCAATTGCATTGTATAGGTAAACAAGAACAACTTCTATCAACTTCATCATTTTACTTCCCTATTCATTGCAGCTTTGAATTATTCTAATGGACTTGTGGAACCTAATATTTGGCAACTGTAAGAGTAAAGTAACCATTTTATCTGCAGGAATAGTTGCATAATATGTTTGGAAAATGTATTCAATGATTTATTGAGGCACCTTGTGGTGGTTATTTTTGCTACATGCCTTTCACTTCTGAAAGCAAAAAACGAAAAGCACATTTGGGCACAAAGGAAAACAATGTTTTTGAAGAATTATAAATGAAATATTTAATATTTTTTAGATAACAAAATGAATGACTTTAGTCCTATATGGGCAAATTATTATAATTGAGATTGCATTTCAACTATTTCTCAGTTTTAGTCAATTATAATTTTGCTTTTTGCTTTGGCTTTTACTTCATAAGAACTTTCCAAGAAGCAAAAAGCAAGTAGGATAAGTGACAACCAAAATGGAGCCAAGTAGGATAAGTATCAACCAAAATGGAGCCTTACACTTTTATGGTCATTCAGATATAACTATCTGCTGTAAATGTTATTTTCTGTCTGTTCATTACGACGGTAAGTATTTTTCCTAAGATATTTATATGCTTTATTTGGCAGTTTATATACTTTCTCACGCATGATTGAAGTGAAAGAAATTGTTGTGGTTTGTGATCCATCATACAATGACATTTTTGAAGGTCTCTCTCTCTCTCTCTCTCTCTCTCCCTCTCTCTCCCTCTCACACACACACACACACGCACGCACACACACATTCACCCACACACATGACTGCACACAAGTGTGTACATATGCAAGCATGTACACACACATTGTATCAGTTGGCTGCGTTTTTGCACTCACTCACACAAGTGAAATGTATGTGTATGTTTTGTGCTTTTCTTCCCTTGGGAAATGTTGCATTGTGTTTTGGTTGTTTCCTAGTCCTTTCAATTCTATTGCTTCAGGGAGATATTCCTGATAATATGACCATTTTTTATTCCAGAAACCAAAGACAAAATTAACGTAGACCTTAAATTCACACTTCCTGGGAAGGAGAGACAGGATTCTGTTTACAGTGGACTTCAGGTATCTGCAAAATGCTTTGAAACTAAGAAGACAATGCTGTTTCATTTCAGTATATGACACTGCCTGGTTGTCTTCATTGCATCCTTTTTTACCTTCATTTTAGATGCTTGCATGATAATATCTAACTAGTGCTTGGGGAGTGACTTCGCCATTGTAACTTTTGTTTGATAGCTTAAAAAATGTGATAGCATTGAATCATGATACTTTATTAAGAATAGCTTGCTTGAGATCTTGGAAATTCTACTGAAAAACAATTTACTCTTCATGTAACATTTGCCATTCTTATTTTTCCACATTTCTTTCTTGCATTATGTTTGACCGCATGTCAATAGCTGATGTATGCCTTACAGACTGGAAAATAAGGTACTCTTCATATAAGATTTTCCATTCTCATTTTTCTGTATTTCTTTGTAGCATCCTGTTCAACCTCTTGTCAATGGATGATGTATGCCTTATAGACTGAAAATAAGTTTTTTCCATGTGTTATAAAGGGACCGATTATGGTCCACCAGGGTGAGCACCTAAGCATACTGATCTGGATATAATCTACTTCCAGGAATTTTTTTTGTAGAGGTTTCTTTCACAAAAATTACTCTAATATCTAAATATGTAAAAATTTTACATTCTTGACTACAAGGGAATACTATCATAATCTTTATACAAAGGTAGGGCTATGTATAGCTATGGCTTTTTTCTCAGCATTTCTATGTATAGCTATGGCTTTTTTCTCAACATTTCTTACATTTGAAATTAGGTATATTCCTCAAATTACAGTTCCCTCCTGAAATATGTACTTAAAATGCTAGCTCTCCACAATCGTTTTTGCAGAGCTTTCTGTCACAAAAATTACTCTAATATCTAAATATATAGAAATTTTACAGTCTTGACTACAAGTGAATGTTACCAGAATCTTTATACAAAGGTAGAGCTACATTTAGCTATGGCCTTTTCCTCAACATTTCTTACATTTGAATTTAGGTATATTCCTCAAATTACAGCTCCCTCCCAAAATGTGTACTTAAAATGCTAGCTCTCCACAATTTAGTACTAATCAATCTCACACTACAGTTTGCCAGTTAAATTCTCTCTCTGCCTTTGTCCTGCTATATTTATTTGTATTGATCAATTAATGGATTTTTAAACTATAAGAGAATAACTTGTTTAGTTTTGTGGTCCTATGTATTAAGGCAAAGTGTGTCTGGATGCTGGGGTTTTCGTTAGTTTGTGATTTGCTTTGATCTTCACCAAGACAATGCCTTCCATTATATGTTAAGGATCTTCACATTTCCTTCTTGACAGTTAAATGGTACTTTTGTTGCAGACAGTTGATTCAAACTGTGAGCTTGTTTGCATCCATGATTCTGCGAGACCCTTGGTAACATCTGGAGATGTAGAAAAGGTTTGGACTCGAAAATTTTCTGGTGATATCTAATGCAGAAAAATTAAATTAAGGGAACTCTAAAAATAAAGAAAAGGACTTGGATTATAGTTCCAGTATCTGTGGGAGGTTGGATCAGTTAAAGCCTTGTATCTTGTATGTTATAGTGCTTATTATGTATGGCACAATAATTAGTGAAGCAGGTCTAGACTATCCTGTCCTGGTTATCGATTGGTGCAATACTGCAATTATATCTTGAGGGATTGATTTCTTTATACTAACCTGTTTGGTTATGACAAGCTTTAAGAGCATAAAGATTTCAAGATTCTGATACCATAAGACTTAGTTAAGGTATGATGGACAATTTTAGCCTGTAATTAGTAGAGGCAATTTATCAGTACCATGCTAAATATACATGAACATTCCAATGAAAGGTATTTGTCCTGGCCATTATCATTTTATTGTGAATTTCAAACGATCTCTATTCCATTTCTTCAAAGAATGCTATATATCTATAGAACAGCTTAGCATTAGGATCTCTCTCTCTCTCTTGGCCCCCTTTATTATTTGTCATGAGTATTCTTTCATTCTTTGACTTATTCTAGAAATAAATTTTGAATGATAAGTGTTTAAATTTAATACTGCTTTGTTAGGTTCTTAAAGATGGTTGGCTGATTGGAGCAGCGGTACTTGGAGTTCCTGTCAAAGCCACAATCAAAGAGGTAGATATTAATATAAAGTCACTTTCTTTAACCATTTGAATTTCATCTGTCTTTATCACACAGTTTTAAGTCTGTCTTTTCTTGTTGACATGCAGTTGATGTTTTTGTTTCTTTTGTTGCAAGTTATTTCCCTGCTGAGTCAGATAAATAAAATTACCATTATCCAGAGGAAACAAACTATCTAATTTAACCGCTATTAAAGCAAGGTTTTTGCAATCTTGTACGATGCATATAAATTTATATAAATTTTAACATTACATTGCTGAACTGGCATGCATATTACTTATCTTCCTATCAATAATTCTTTGTTTTTCTAGGCATATTCTTGACAAACAAGGAAGTTCTGAGATGGAACTCTAACATGAGGCTATCAATGGAACTTTTAACATGAACCGATATTTAGCATTTTCCCCTGTTTCACTCTCTATCTGTCTGTCTTTTCTGCAAGTTGAGAAATGTTCTTTGCTAAATTAGACTCTGGTTCATCCTTTACCTAAAGATGACTGACTACCTTTTGATTCGTTAGGAGGCTGGCTTCGATAAGGAGAGTTATCACACAGATTTCATTTACCATTAGTTGTTATAGGTTATTCATGTAACTTTATAACATCAAGAATGGGATTTCTTCTCTCTAAGCCCTACTAAATTCAATTGCGTTTTAGCATTGATTAGGACAGAATTTTTAAATGGAAGATGATGCTGTTGGAAGCTCTTTGCACTGATTATTATACTTTATTCTTTGTTTACGTATCCTGTTTCATAAACTACCATTCTAACATGTTTGCGATACTGTTTATTTCCAGTATATCATCCTATTTTCATGCTTAATTAAAGACTTAAAACAGATTATTAGTCATTATCTTGTCTTCTTCTGCCCAGGCAAATAGTGAGTCTTATGTGGTGAGGACTCTAGAGCGAAAAACACTATGGGAAATGCAGACCCCACAGGTTTACTTGTTGAAAGAGATAATATATCACATTACTATCTTTCTGAGAATGCTTTAGTTGAATATACTATATACATAATTGTGCAACTTGCTTCAAATTTATCATACAGGTGATTAAGCCAGAGTTGCTGAGAAAAGGTTTCGAGCTTGTGAAGAGGTACTTGATGATTCACATTTTAGTGTTCAAACTGCTTGTGACTTTCTTCTTTTTGAAAATATATCCTGGGAAACATCTAGCTTAGTATTGCATTTCTACTATTGACTGACATTAATATTAAATATTCTTGTCTTTCAAGTGTAAAAATTGTAGTTTCATTATATATTTTGTCCATTGGGATGTGAAATCAATATATATTTGCATTTCATATTTTCCTCGATTGCCATTAATCCATTAAGTGTTTGGATATGCATCTAAAAATAAGGAAATGAATGTGTGTTCATGAATTAATTTCTATGTATGTCCATTTTCCTGAGACCCTTTTTTTTGCCTTTTTCTACTCATCGGTGTCAATGCTGTTTTGGAAAAAAATAATTTTTGCGTTATTAAATAAAAGCCCATGATTGAGATATAATTTTGTCTTAATTTCATTGATGATTCGAGATGCCTGTAGGCCCAATCATGCGAGAATGGGTTTGGGCTATTAAAAAATTGAGGCCAAAAATAATTTCTCAAGCCTATTCAAAATGGGCTGAAATAAATGTACAATTATTGACCTTTGAGTACCTCCATTTTCTTCAGACATCCAGGTTAGGGGAAAGGAAGAACTCACGCTATCAACTACCTTGACCTATTGGTTAATCCCAATTTACTGTCACAAAACTTCTAACTTGTCTACCTCTCTCTCAGTACAGAGGGGGGGAGAGAGAGACTGCTGTCTTTCGCATACACCTTCAAAAGAGATGTTTCATCTAAGTGTAGCTGTATAAACTTTTAACTCAGTACTGTAACTAGAGATAGGGTTTTGTTCATATGGGTTTGAAAGATTTTATTTAAAGAGTCGCATTTGTTTTTTAAAAATCGTTTAATACAACTCTGGTCCTTCAACTAAATTGAGCTTTAGTTTTATAAGGGTCATACTCCATTCTTTTTGCAGGCAGTGAACCTTCCTTGTGTCAAAATTATTATATGCAAAAGAAAAAGGAAAAAAAAAATCCCTGCATTTAGCTCTTCCGTTTGTTAATCTTCATTAATTAAAACCTAAAACATGGAACGGATTCTGAGCATCTATGGTTCCCTGCAGAGGTGGTCTTGAAGTGACGGATGATGTGTCAATAGTGGAGCACCTTAAGCATCCTGTGTATATAACTGAGGGATCTTATACCAACATCAAGGTATTGTTACTCTGTATTCTATGAAATGACCCTCTATTTGGCACATGTTTATTTTGATGTTTCAACAATGGGAGAATGTAACCCTATTTTATTTGCTTTAAGGAGTGATGTGCTGCATTCTTCTATTTGCAGGTCACAACTCCTGATGACTTGTTACTTGCGGAGAGAATTCTGAATATGACCTCTAGTGAACTTCCTAAATAATGCTCTTGAACACTTCCTTAGGTTTCTCCCTGTCGGTGTTTCTGCTACAACATAATTTGGGTGCGTGTCAACATTGTGAATGGCCGTCCCAAACCCCAAAAATTTTTACATATAGTAGCAAAAGCAACTAGACCTCTAAAAAGAGCTGGAGAAATTGATTGTCTAAGGTCAGGAGCATGAGAAATTTCTTGATGTTCAACATAACAAAAGTTGGTACTTCTATTTCAGAAGCATTTTAATGTGTTCCTTGTTGCTGGGTTGCTGTGAATAGGAGGATTATATTGCTTGTTAAACTGATGTGGTGAGGCTAAAACTGTTGGTTGCACAGACTGAGCACATTGAGTAGTAGATGAGGGCCAGAGTTTCTCTGGCTAGTAGGTTTAGTCTTGGCTCTGAAAGCAAAAAAATGGAAAAAATGGCATAGGGAACAAAATAGCCAATTTTTTCAGAAAACTGTCCAGCTGCATTTACAGATAATGTGATTGCCAGTTCTAAAAGAGTTAAGACGGTTTGATGAACAGATTATACAGTAAAGAGGTGGGTTAGTGGCTTTGCAAGATATAGGGTTTTTGGAAGAATTCACTCAGCAAACTTAACCCATGTATTGAGGTTGTGAATTTGGATTAGACGTTGCTCCTTAAATCCCAATTTGGTTCGAAATGCGCGGACCAAAAATGTTAATGAGTCCAAATTAAAAGTGACTTCAACCTAATTGATCTAAACCAGCACTCCCAATTTGATCTCTCGGAAAAAATTTGAAATAACACATCCTTAAACTTGAAGCTAATGATATATGGCACTAATCGATTTTTTTTACTTATAAGTTATTTTAAAAAATTTAAATAAAATTTTGTTTTTTTATTGTGTTTAATTAAATCTTTATACTATTATTTAAAATCAAAGAAGTTTTTATGATTAATTATGACTAATCATTATTAATCAAAATGTCACTAGTTATTTCATGTCACATAGCACTAACATTGCATATTGATATGTTGTAATAGATGATAATATGACATTATGATATGATCAGATAATATTTTTCTCTTTTCACGTTACTGTCACATCAATATTATGTTATTGTCACATGGACATAAAATAACAAGTGACATTTTGACTAACAATAAGTAATCAACTATTAGTTATAAGAATTTATTTAACTCAAATTAAAAGTAAAAAAGTTTGATTGAATGTAATAGAAAAATAAAACCTTATTTGATTTTTTTTAAAAGTTCAAAGGTTTTTTTCAATTATGTATATGTATTTCATTTTCCTTAGATGTTGGAGAATTTAGTTGGGAGCAACCCCTTGGATATCTCTTCATTTTCGGAGAGTTAACCATATTAAAACCTAAAGACAATTTTGATCTTTGAAGCAACCACATCTGTAGACATGGTAATTAGGTGGTCTCAGATTGGGTTTAGGTTAGGTCATCTGAATTTGATACTTGAGCTTTTTAGATTCAGATCATTTTAGGTAAGTATTTTGAATTGTTTGAGTTCAAGTCATTTTAGATTCGAGATAAATTGGATTTGGATTGCTTTAAGTTCAAGTTATTTAGAGTTCAAATTGTTTCAGTTTTGGTTATTTTAGAATTTGGTTGGATAGGTTCAGATTATTGATTTTTTTCTCATTAAATCAAGTTGGATGAATTTTTCTGAGTACAAGTTAGTCTTGTCAACTTTGAGCATGTCCTAATTCATATTTAAAAAGAATTACCACTTGCAACACTTTTAATCCTTATATTTAGGGGATTTTTTTTTTGGTCCTGAAAAATAAACTGTTTTTGAAAATAAGCACTGAGATAATTTTAACTGTTTTTAACCACCACAGTAGATTTTGAGACAAAAATGCCTTTAATGAGACATATTCGTTGAGGTGCACCATCAAACATGTGAAAAATCTAGAAACAAATAGATAAATATGCAAATAATTTGCGAACTTCTAATTTTCTGCAAAACATCTATTTGTTTTTAGCTAAGCTTGTGCGAAGCAAAATAATGTTGCATGAGAAGATTTTTCAGATATTTCAGATATAGCATTCAGAACCGGTCCCGGTGAATCAAAAGCTTCGAGGATGATGTGCAACCAGAAATCCGTGATACGGTGGTGAATCGGAAGAAGAAAGATGTGAATCCAAAGCACGAAATCGTCGTGCTACAGCAGGGCATATGTGAGAAGGCTGTGGCATGACTCGGAGGGAATATGTGAGTTGACATTGTGATAATATGTGACACAACAGAGAATGTGGCATGAAACAGTATGGTGGGAATGTGTGACAGGGCTGTGACATGGCAAAATTCAGAGTTTGGTGACACGCCATGGAAGGAATCTGTGACACTCTAGAGTTCAAAGTTTGTGACACGGCATGGAGGGAAACTATGACATACTAGAGTTCAGAGTTTGACACGGCATGGATGGAATCTATGACACGGTAGTATTCAGAGTTTGTGACACGGCATGGAGGGAATTTGTGACACGGCAGGGTTCAGGGTTTGTGACACGCCATTGAGGGAATTTGTGACACAACAGGGTTCAGGGTTTGTGACACACCATGGAGGGAATCTGTGACACGTTAGTGTTCAGAGTTGGTGACACGACAAGGAGGGAATCCGTGACACGCCAAAGTTCAGAGTTTGACACGGCATGGATGGAATTTGTGACACGGTAGGGTTCAGGGTTTGTGACACGCCATGGAGGGAATCTGTGACATGCCAGTGTTCAGAATTGGTGACACGCCAGCATTCAAGGTTTGTGACACGATAGCGTTCAGGGTTGTGACACGCCACTGAGAGAATCTGTGACATGCTATGTGTGTGTCAAACGGCATGGCTTGTCACCGCATGACACGACATGGTTTAAAAGCGGAAGAAAAAAAAGTGGGCAAAAAAATAAGGAAACCGACTCGACTTCCATTGAATGAATATTATAAGGCCATCTCATTTTAAATTAATTATTTTTCAAAAATCGCAAACATTTGTGTGAAGGGTTCTTAGAGAGTTTGATTCATTCTTCATTCCAAAAGGTACCAGAGAGTCGGACTTCATTCTTTGCAAGCTTAACAAGACGAGAACAACAATATCAGTTATCAATGAAGAGGTCAATCAGTCTGAAATTAAAACTTTCTTCTGTTCTTTACTTTTTTGCTGGGTT